GTTGGTCTTTACGACTGTTAATTTCATCTTCTGAAACACCGGCAATTCATTCTCGGACTTGACTGACAAAAGCGCTGCAAAATATGCACCACACATTGTTAATTAATATTTGTATGTATATATATCAATGCATATATGGTAATCAATAATCATATAATCCAGTAGTACCACTCGTAAGGAGCCAATTCGTCGCAGTTCAGAAGGATGTATGTATGTGCGCTGTGGTAATCCTTTTTGTTTGACCAACAAGTTTTTTTTAGTTTCCCACCTAGACGTCCAATCGGTGAGAATATATCTGGTACACCTTCTACTGCATTAATTTGTCCCACACCCCCATTATCATAACGTCTTGGAGCCCGTTTGCGTGTACAAACCTTTGGAGCAAAATAGTAAGACGTGAAATTAGAAGTTTCTTCTGCCAAACTTCCTACCACGATAGACCCTTCAACTTTTGCTAAGTTTTTAGCCTTACCCATTAAATGCTTCATAAAGCATTCAAAAGGATACATTCACCTAAACTGAACAGGTCCTCCTAACTCTGCTTTGTGAGGGATGTGTATAGGTAAATGTTCCATAACATCAAAGAATACAAGTCGAAATATTTTCTCTAAATTGCACAACAGTATTGGAATATTTGTCAAAAGTTGTGCAACTACATCTGCTGATAAGGTCCTTGTACCTAAATAACGAAAGAATGCTCCAATGCCTCCTAGTGCCTCATGGACATGTCCTGGTAGGAGTTCAGCAAATGCAAAAAAAAGTAATCGTTGCATAAACACATGACAACCATGACTTTCATCCCTGAAAACTTTTGTCCTTTCTCCACAGATTTAGCCAGATTAGATACATACCCATCAGGAAATTTCACGGCTGATGATACCCAATTAAACAATGCATCTTTTTGTTCTGCACCCAGCTGAAATACCAGAACTGGTGTTTTCCCATTACTCACAATATACAACTCAATTCTATTACATATATCAGGCAAGTCCATCCGTGATTTGACGCTGTCTTTGGTTCTTCCTTGGACGTTCAATACGGTATACATGATGTTATCAAAAAAAATATTTTCAATGTGCATAACATCAAGATTGTGTCTCAGCAATTGATTTTTCCAGTTTGGCAGATCCCAAATATACTTTTTGTGCTAATTATGATGAACCCCATATCCTTCAGGCATATTCGCTGGAGTGTGCCAATTTCCTCATATATTGGGGGACTGTTTCAATTCCACCCCAATGATCTATTTGTGCTTCAAGATCTACCCCTGTTAGGTACACTAATGGGGGGAGACAAACCAATTTATTCTTTATAAACAAACGCCTGTTTCTTCTAATTGATGGTTTGGTGGTAAAAACTGATATTGACAATCAACCCAACAGGTTTTCCGACCATGTTTAATCTGAAATGCATCAGTCCTATCAAGACAATAAGGACATGATAACCTCACATGCATTGTCCAACCTGATAGCATTCCGTATGTCGGGAAGTCGCTTATTGTCCACATGAGCACTGCTCGCATCGTAAAGTTTTTACCACTCGAACAGTCATTTGTTCATACTCCGACATGCCACAACTGGTTTAGCTCATGTATGTGTGGCTGCAAAAACACATCAACGGCCCGCTTCGGGTGATTTGGACCAGGGACTAAGATACTTAGAAACAAAAACTCCCTTTGCATGTACATATCTGGAGGAAGGTTATATGGCGTAAAGAATATTTCCTACCAGACATACCAAATGGACTAAACCCGTCAGTGCAAAGACCAAGATAAACATTTCGCTTAGATCTTGCAAAGTCTGGATGTACGGTGTTAAAATGTTTCCAAGATTTCCCGTCAGAAGGGTGAGTCATTTTGCTATATGTTTGTAAATGTTCTGCATGCCATCTCATCGATGCACCTGTCCGTTTAGATTGATATAATCTTTTTAACCTATCAGTTATAGGAAGATACCACATTCGTTGGTACAGAATCTTCTTACGCCCAACAATTTGCGGTCTATATCTTAGCTTTTGGCAGAAACGGCATTCTTGAAGCTTCTCATCATCTCTCCAGAAAAGCATACAATTATCAACACATACATCAATCATCTCAGAAGGAAATCCAAGACTAAAAACCAACTTCTAAATTCATAATACGTTTCAGCGGCCAAATTATCATATGGCAAATACTCTTAATAAGATCTGCCCAATCGTTCATGCAAACTTCAGATAGATTGTGATCAGTTTTTACTGTCATCATCCGAGCTGCTAATGATAATTTAGATAAACCTTCTCTACATCCCTCGTAAAGAGGCTGTTTTGCTGCGTTTAACATACCATAAAAGTGTTTCGCATCTGCATTGGGCTCCTCAACAATATCAGCATGTGTTTCATGAAATGCATCAGTAACTATATCATGCATCCTATCCTGATCTTCACCCTGAACTTGACTACTTTGATAATCATTTGATGCTTCAAAATCTCCATGTTTTTGATGATTACTACTACTCCGTGCAGCCATCCGACCACTATTTTGAGCATATCCCTCTCCATGCTGATACCAAATAAAGTATTGTAGCATGAACCCTCTATTCAATAAATATTTCCAGATAGTGTCAATAGGAATATGTTTCCTATTTTTTGCATTTCAGACAAGGACAATACATTTGTCGCTTTCAATTACAGTTTGCATAAGTCTTCAGTCAACGCCCCCTTTGCATCTTTTGGGGTATACATCCACTTTCGTAGATTGTATATACACATTTCAAGAAACTAAAAAACAACTTTTGTTTCTCACTTTGTTCTAATTATATATTTTAATTTAATTTGAACTAGTAAAATTATATTGAAACACTCTAAAGACTCAAAATATTGTGTCTTTGTATGTTTGTATGTGAGGGAGAATAATAAGAGAAGGGAGGGGTATATATAGATTTTTGTTTGGTTACCAACACATTTTCATTCAATATTTACATTAAATTTACATCAAAATGAATTTTACATCAAGTTTACATCTATATTACATCGAATACAAGATTAGGCCAAATCATCGTAAAATCCATGTAAATTTTACGACAATGTTACGACGATAAATGTATCATTGGTATTTCATCGTAATCGCGTCGTAAATTTACGAGGATTTTACGACTTCTAAATTATACGTCGAATTTACGAAAAGTTTTGTCTGCGTCGTAAGTTCGACGTAACGAAATCATAATTTTACGATAATTTATAATCGACGTAAAATTTCGTTGGAAATAGCCCTCTTTCTTGTAGTGTTTTGAAAAAGTATATGCCGTTTGAAATCTACTATAAACTTGACTTCATTTTTTTTAAGTTTGACTTTTTGGTTAAACGCAAAACTAACATCTATAAAAAGTCAAAATTTTGGTCGGATACAAAACTAACTTAAAAAAAAAGACTTTTCTAGAAGACTTCTGCAGAAAACTTTAGGTGAAGCCTACCTTCTAAAAGTCAAAGTTTGGTTAACTGCAAAAGTAATCTCTTTTTTCGGAGACTTCAAAAAAAGTCTATTGGAGTTTTTTGTTTTCAAATGATAATCAGTAGACTTCATGAGTCTACTCATTAAAAAAAAAATTAAAAAGTCAATTGAAAAACTAACATTTGTGTTGACTAGTAGATTTCAAAAAAGTCTACTAATTATAATAAACTCTACATAAAGTCTACTTTTGCGATATAGCTATATAAATTAGCGAAAATTAAGTATATAATTATCTATATCGGTTTTGAACTTGTTTTTCAGGTCCCTTAAGTGCCCAGATATTTTAATTCATTCAAAAAGAAATAACACAAATAATGGTTATATAAGAATCACCGAAAATATGACATCCATGAACTTGTAAATTTTAAAAAAACATGAATTGGAGAGTTTTGGAAATAAAATTGGGTAGAAAATTGAAAATTATGAGGTTATGAGCTATGTTATTGAGTTATTACAATTTACAAAATCGGTTGGAAAGCATTAGAACTTCAGAGTGGTAAGTAATGGTGGTTAGAGATATTGAAAAAGATGTCATTTTTGTAATTAAGTAATTATTAGAGATTTTTATCTTTTTGTTATTATTAAAAAATATTAATTTATATTGGTATTTTTGTAAATATTTGCGAGTGTGAAAGATAAAATAGAAAGAAAATGGTAAATTTAAGAAAACTGAAAAAAATAGATTAGTTTTGTGTTTGACCATAATTCTTTAGTTTCTGCAATTTTTCATTTATAAAATGTGTTCTATAGAAGTTTGATATACAGTACATAAATAAAATGATATATATATATATATATATATTGGGCCAGATGATGATAAACATCGGAATATAATTTTAGAATAATATGCATATATCTATTAAATTATGTTTACATTTAAAATAAAACTAAATTACTACATTTTTTATTTTACATATTATAATTTATTTCGAAAATTAAAAGTCCAGAATTATTTTTAAAATATATTTTTATAATTTTAAATTCTCAAAATTTCATGATAGTACTATTATTTTCTTACCTAATAAATAATTGGTTTAAAACCTTTTTAAACAGAGAGATTAGTTTTAAAAATATATATATTTTGAAATATTAATCAAGTGAAAGACCATCTTTTTGTTCCATTTTTGTATATTTAGGTTAACAAAACAAAAAATAGCAGTGACGAAAATTAAAAATAGACTAAAATATGAAAGTGAGTTAAAAGGAAACGTAGACAACCCAACAAAAAAGTAAAAAGAAAGTTAACACGCAAAAATGGAAATAAATATTTTCAAAGTAAATCACATTGGTTATCATCGTATTTATTTACAGAAAGAGTCTTCTCTGTCCAGAAACCAAACCTAATTCTAAACCTATAAACACCATGGAGACACCTAATCATGGCAACTGGTCAAACCTCCCTTTCGACATACTCAGATCTCTGTTTGAACGCTTGAGCTTTGTGGATTTCCATCGAACTAAGCTGGTTTGTTCCAACTGGTATCCTTGTTGGAAACAAACGGCCCCTCGGAAAAGCGTATCTCCATGGCTAATGCTTTTTCCAGACGACGGTGCTTATGTGCTATACAACCCAGAAGAAGACATGGTTTATAAGACAAAGAGAGACTTCTCAACGAGTCGATTCCTGGCAAGCTGTGGTAAATGGTTTTTGATGCTAGATTCTCGATCCAGATTATATATCATAGATGTGTTTAGCAAAGATAGGATCGGTCTTCCTCCATTAGAGTCGGTCGTATCTAATTTCAGTGCTCTGAAGCGTGTGGGAGATAGGGATAGGGAGTTTATATGGGAATTAACTGATGGTACCGTCTTCAACGCTTTCTCCGATGAAATTAGGGCAAGTCTTTGGGTAGACGAGAAGGCAGAAGAGTTGGCTTTAGTGTGGTTCTTTGACGCTCCTGCTGGTTTTTTATGCTTTTACAAGAAAGGGAATGATCATTACAATCTCATTCCGGTTGGCCAGTTTGGAATCCCCAAGATGCTAACAGGCCTACATGGTCTGGTTCTTCGAGGTTACCGCCTATATATCTTAACGACTCGTAGCTTCGTTCGAGTCATAGATTTTTCTAGACAGGAAGGTTTTGAAGAACTCACCGGGAGTGACCCATCACCAACGTTTTCTCCTCTTGGGTATAGTTGTAAATTTAGCATCGTTGTTACAACTGCAGGAGAGGTTTTGTTGGTCACGAACACAGTCTTTGAAAGAAGCGAAAGGGTCTTCCACGTCTACAAGAAAGATTCCAATGCAGACCCAGAAGACTACATGCCTGATCTTCTTGAGGTACATTCTCTTGGTGATGAGGCCCTGCTTCTCGACTTGGGTATCACTGTTTCTGCTAATCCTACCCTTGGTATCAAACCAAACTCTATCTATTTCACCCGTAATGACCTTATCCGTTATGGGACCTCTTGTGACCGTGCCCGTGTCTTGCCCCCTTATGAGGTGGACATCTGTGTGTTTAATCTTACAACCAAGACCCTTGAACCCTTCCCTGCTCCCCCCAACATGAATCTCAAGGATGCTCGGTGGATTTTGTCTATGGCTTGAAGGACTTGATTCCAAATTTCCAAATTTTGACCCCAGCAGAGACTCTTACACTCTTCTTCATGTCATACTCATTCAACATGATCTCAAGGTTAGCCAAGCATGGCTTGTGAGTAGGTCTCACTGAAGGACACAAAGAATAGCAGGAGAATCGAAACACTGAAGAGAAAGCAAATCGAAATGGCAGCTCTGAAAAAAGTAGAGGACTAGAACAGACCGATGTGCTCTTTAGCACACAGTGACAAATCGATGTGCTTTATATAAGACGTTGTCTTGTATTGTAACAATTAACTGTTTTTTCTTATCAATAAAAAAACAAAGGTTGAGTTTTGTATCAAAGAGAGAATCGTTTTTTTAATACTCTGTTTTGAAGACAAAAGTCGAATAATTGTATGTATGAAACAAGTTTTGTTTACTACACCAATTCCTCTCTTCTATTCTTTTGGTTTTTTGAAGATAATAAGCGATCATCTGTTAACAAATATGGATATGATGAGAGTTGCTATACCAGCATACTGAGGAGGAAAGAAGGGAACCCCTAAGTAAAACTCACCAGCTTGTTGTTGTCAAGAGGAAGATTTGTTTTTTTTCAGGTTCATGACTTTCTTGCAACAAGTGTAATCGAATACTTCAACTTTTTTTGTCCTGAATTTGTCCCCTGTTGCTTGAAGCAATGCTTTTGAGTTTTGTATTGCTAGTTTCTTTCTAATTAATCCATTCATCCCATCAAGCATTCAGCATCACAGGTTTTAAATACAAAATATTGCCTCGATCTTACCATTAGACTATTGAAAACCACTTTTCGAAATCAATTCAAGCATTACGGAAAGCCAAAGTACAACTCACCTGTCTTTTATCAGCACATTCTACATGTCAGTGCAACTGTTATAACATTCCATTTCATGCCAAGCTTTCTGCAAATTAAAGATTCACTATTTCATGAAATACATACAATTGCATTCCAAATAGTTTAACATATGCTGACCAAGCAACTCCTACATACTTTTACTGAATTACCTCTTGTGGTAACACGATACAACAATTAATAAAGAGAATACTTCTCAGAATTCTAAGTCTTCGAGTTTATTGTTCTCTGAAGAAAACGTAAGTACTAAGCAACTAGTGTTATCAAAATCTATCGATCTTCGTCGAACTCTAGATTATCCCTCTGCAACAGTAAGTATGGTGCTGGTAGAACCGTGAACCGTCTAGTATATAAGTGAATAAAATTGTTCGTTGTAAAAGTATCTTTGTAGTTGTTCTCTATAACCTGTAATTGATAATAATATTTCAGATAATCAAAACAGTATATGGATTATTTAATTGTTAAGAATATAACATAAACATAGGCAATTTACTGGTAATTTGTATGAGATTTATTTTCTTCAAAATAAATTATTAACTTTGTGATATATTTTAAATATTTTTTTTATTAATTTTTTTATAAATTAGGACCCGAAGAAGATGAATAGGTGGAGGTAGGAGGGGTCTCTATTAGGGTTTGTTTCAGCGGATCTGGTTTCTCGTCAGGTTGTCTTGTTCGGTTTAGGGTGATTTTGGAGATCTGAATTGGTTTTTGTTCTAGCGATGGTGAAGTATAAATTTCCAAAGGGAATTCTGAGTATCTTCAAGCTTCTATATACGGTTGTGGATGATCCATCACTGGATTCAATAATCTCATGGAGCAACAGCAACAAGAGTTTCGTCATCTGGAATCCGGAAGAGCTACATCAGAGAAAGATATTTGAGAGCCACTATTATGGCTGCGAGTTCCCAGAATTCTTGGCCGTGCTTAAGACTTATGTAAGTTTTTGTACAATATAATTGCGTGATCAAAACTTCTAATCATCTCTCTCTCTCTCTCTCTCTCTCTCTCTCTCTCTCTCTCTCTCTCTCTCTCTCTCTCTCTCTCTCTCTCTCTCTCTCTCTCTCTCTCTCTCTCTCTCTCTCTCTCTCTCTCTCTCTCTCTCTCTCCTACAATATATTTGTAGGGCTTTGAAAGAGTTAAGGGTGCTGGGCGATTGGAATTTGCAAATGCAAATTTTGTGAGGGGTCAACCTAAGCTTTTGGGGAAGTTGCAGTCCAAGGCTTGGGCAAATATGAGGAAGAGATTCCGAGCAAGAATGGAAGATGAAAGAAAAACACACCAACCAGCGAATGCGTTGGAACATTTACGAATTTGATCAAAACTCTCTCATCTTCTTTTCCTTTTTCTTCCTTGTATCATACACTTTTCATCCAGCTAAGTTAAACATTTTCAAAATGGCAAGCCCACTGTTCTGACCATGCTACATAGAGGCAAGCCTACATAAAACATTTACCCGCAACATAGATTATAGTCGTTCTCCAGTGAACGAGTCTTTCATTCTGCGATCGCCAGCTATTCACCTATTCCCTAGCAACTAGGTTCCACAAAAAGAAATATCAACTGAGGATGTGGAATCTCACCCCCGAACATACTCATTTTTATTCTTCTTAAACATAGATCGTGTACGTTTATATTGTGTAAGAATCATAGGGTCATATTATTTACAATTTTTCTTCAAACATAGATGAAATATCTTTGTCTGTTGTTCAGTCTTCAATTTAATTTACGATTAAGTTAATTTCATCTTAGTTTACTCAATTAATCTATGTTTGCTCCCTTTGCTCTTGCCCTATCTATCTCCATCGTCAACTCATGGTAACTACTCCTGAACATTCGAGAACAAGGATGCACCGTCATGAAATTAATCAAATGTAATTAAAAATTGATATGCTCTTCCACTAACAAGAATAGTAGAATTACTAGTAGTGAGCAATATACCAACAATAGGTATAATGGATTTTTGGTAAGGTATCTTTTTTTTTTGGAAAAGTGTTGAAACGAATTTATTATTAAACGTAAGAAATACAAAAGAAAAACAAAATGTGATCAATCAAGGCTTCAAACAGTGAGGACGGGTCAGACAGTGCAGGACAAGCGGACGGGTCAGACAGTGCAGGACAAGCGGACGAATGAGGCAATGCGAATAGTGTGAAACAAGCAATACAAAACATTTGAATGGTGGTGATCATGATCACGAGACTGTTTGCGAGCTATCAGCGTGACAAAACTGTGTCATGATGACCTAGAGCCACCACGCCTTAAGTTAGGAACATCGTTCCAAGCAGTGGCGTGCGGCTCATAAATTTAATGGACCATATACAATAATCAAAATTTATAGATATAATATGCAGAATGTTGCAAAAATATGTTAATTTTCAAAAATGCCCTAAACTCTACTAAATTTGTAAAAAAAAAAAAATCTATATCCAGTGAAAATGTACTTTTAGCACAAGCCAAGAGTCGGCACTGGTTCCAAGCGTCAGTCAAAACAACAATGGAATCTATTTAGGAGGAAATAGGAGTACCCTTGCCCAGTTCCAGTTAACAACTGCAAAAACCTAAAGCAAGAACCACAAGATCAGACATAGTAACTCGTCTCGTGTGAGGAAATGATGATCGGGAGAGTTTCTTATGAAAGGGACAATAGTTAGTTGGTCCATTCATGAATGGTTCAACTAGTAGTCTATTTCAATTTGTCATTTTAATTTTATTATGTAGGTTATCTTTGGTTTTTGGTATATATAATCAATCAAGTCAGACTAGCTAGTATGTAACTTTCACAACCTTTTTAATTCTACTATGTTTTGTCATGCATGAGAGCCTAGTGATGAAACAGAGTTATTCAACTTTTTCAATTAAAGTATTGTAAATTTATATCATTTAATAGACTAAGTCAACTTTGTTTGCAGTAAAGATTGTTTAATTATACACTTGACTAAACTTTCATGGCTGAATTACTCAGCTATTGATTTCTATTTGTGAATCGTATTTGAAGATTAACAACATGAAAAGAGATAAAAAAAAATTTCACAAATGTCCCAGTAATTTAGGACGCATCTTTAGACATAATACAATGAAGAATTCTAGGTTCTCTCCATATATCCCAATATAAAAACTGAAGTTTCAGGGAAAAAAAACTATAACTTAGTTAAAGCCATAACCATTGCATTTGCATAATCCACAAGCATACCAATTCATAAATTAACATAAAATAAAACAAACCACAAATGGGTGATCAGTTGTTTCAATTCCAAAAAGGACTCATACTAATAATATATGGTACATTAACGAGACTGAACTGAAACACCAGCAAATTCTTCAAACTGATAAACACCTTGGAAGAAACATAGGACTCTCTACATGATCCAGGAAGATTGTCTTACGAGTAATAAATTCTACACTACAGTTTTCTAGAAAGTCATATCTTCTAGCCTTGTCTTCTTTGGGATCGTAACAGACAATAAAATACCGGTAAGGGTAAAAGCATGGCCCAAATATTAGCTCTCCGGTACTAATAGTACCCCTGCAACAGAATTTTAAGTTATTCCCAAATACGGTATTCCCAACTAATTCTTCCCAACAAGGAACCAGGACTGAAATGTTTGTCCACTCTTGTTTGTTAACATCCATCAGAACCCACAAGTCGAATTTACCATTAGTTGAGTCATCTACTAAGGCTATCTTTCCATTGTAGTTCACGATTTCAAAGTCATCATCTCGTTTGATTTGGACACCCTCAGGTAATGTAATCAGACTAAACTCTTCAAATCTCAAATCAAAGCACACTAGAACAAATCTTTCGTCGTCAAGACTATAAGCTCCATAGTAAACAACCCCATTCTTGCATATACCTTGACTTCGAGTGCAATAGTGAGGATACTTACAGTGGATCGATCTCCATGCTTGTTGAGCTCCTAAAGTGAAAACTCGATGCTGAACATCTTTACGAGTGGAAGTGGAAAGTACTTTATATAGATCAGTAACCGGATCATATCCAAAAAGGATTGATCCAGTTTGGCCTCCAGGTAAAGCTAAGAACTGTCCCGTGCTAGGATTGCCAACAAGCAACTTATTATCATAATCTCTAACGCAGATCAAGCCACGGAAGGGTGTAGAAATAATATGCCCTGGAATGTTTTTCGGATTGATGATATGATCAGAAGATGGATTCTCCTGAGAGGAACAGCGATAGAACTGCGTAGCACGACAGAAGAACTGGAAAAGAAGAAGTGGCCGAGTAGAAGATCGAGTGATGTACAAGTGGGCAAAATGCTTCCCTTGGATTATAGATGACCAGAATTTTGAAAGGCAGATGAGCTTTGACACCGATCTCGGAGGCAGTTTCGTAAGAATCTGTATTATCAGATCCACAGGAAGAGAAAGAGAGTAGTCTTTAACATCATCTCGTTTCATTGATTTATTACCGGTCGTCAACTTTCTTGTTGTAGTGACCCTTTTCATGGCGATTCCGCTTCCTCCTTCCTCTTTCTTCTATTGAAACCCAACCTAGCTGCGTTGAAATTCTTTTTATTTACTTAAAATGAAACAATGAGTGCATATGGTAGCGGGAATAGCACTAGTCACGCCGGCGCAGTGGTTTCTTTAAGCTCCCGCTGAACACTAAAAATCCCAAATTCAGTTCGTGAGACTATAAAACCCTATGAGTAAAATTGATTGAAACAATCGAAAGAATAAGGCGGAGTAGGCGGACATGGGGAGGAGGAATTTCACTTACCGGAGTTACAATCGGCGGATGAGGCGGAGTGGCAACGGCGATGAACGATTTGGGAGAGGAGGAAAAAAAAATTTGTCGGGCAAGATATGTTTTTTTTTTTTTTTTCCCTATCTATCTAGTACAATCACATTTGACCCGTCGTATTAGTGATCCATAGACCACCATCGGTGAGCTCGTTATGATCGATTTGGGAAAAGATAACGCTTCTTACTCGATCTCCTTTCGCAAGAGTATCCGCCTATACATTTAGATCCCTCGAAATATGAGATAAAGTGCACTCTGAGAAGCTCTCTTGAAGGAGGTGGAAGGTATCTAGCTCTGTATTAAAAGACGACCAATCAGTTGGAACCTCAATCATACGCACCAGATCCGAACAGTCGGATTGAAAGTGGACCGAAAGTATCCGTCTCTCTCTCAAGCAGGACATAGCCCAGAGGAGGCAATCCATCTCGGCATGGAGGGCCGAGAGGCTTCTACGGCATCCCTGAAGTCCAAACAGTTCAAATCATCCGCCATCCACAAAGCTCCAACTGATGCCGCTAACCTATAAAGATATTATTTTAAAAAATAAAACTAGTTTAACATTAATATAAATAATATTAATAAGAAAAATCTTCTATTATTATTTTAAAAAGATACATTAAAAAAACCTTTGTGTCATGTGTGATTTATAACTGTGTCATGCTGAGAATCTAAGTTCAGAAAGTTTTTCAAAGATTTTGTAAAAGTACGCTTAATTTAGTAGACTAATTACATCAAATGCCATTAACATTAATTTGGTTAGAGATTAATATATATCAATTATATATTTAATACTCAAATATTTCATTTGTAAATATATTTTCTTTTTTTTTTCTATTTCTTATCAACATATTTATAAAAATTTAATACATAATATTATTTATATTACTAAACATTAGATTCCTTATTTCATATTTCTTTGATCTTCATTTTGTTAAAAAAAAATCACATTATCAATTTAATAATAAAAAATCTAAATATTTTCATACATATTATAAATCAAAAAAAAATTTAAAGTATCTTAGTCTAATGTTGGACCGGTTATATAGAACATATTAATCTAAATTATTATATTTAATATGTAATTTCATTCATATAAAAATACTATTAAAATTAATTATAAAACCAATAATTATTTAGCATTTATGCAATTATATTACAAAATAAATGTAACTTCAATCATTTTTTATAATTGAATAATCAGTACATATATATAATTATAAATATCAGCTAATATTTTTATAAATATATTTACATATTCAATAATTATAGTTAATATTTATTCCGCACATGGTGCGGATAATCATCTAATAGTATTAAGGTAAAAGAAACAATGTTTCTTCAATTTTGTCCTATGTTGGAGAAACATTGACCATTTGACTTGATTGGCAGTGCATATTATAGAGCTGTAGGAGCAAAGAACAAAATCAGTGACTTATTATTTAAATTTTTGGTTAGTATCAGACATTTGTGTATTCAAACCCGATCAATTTAAATTATTTAAATTTTTGGTTAGTTAAATTTTGGATTAATATCCATTCGGATATTTCGTAAATTTCAGATCTGTCTGAATTTATCTTACTTAAGTTCGGTTTGGTTCGAATATTAAAACTAAGATCTAATACTTACCTGAAAAAAATTCGGATTCGGATTATATCTATACTATTAAAATAGAAGCATGTTTTGTGTCCAAACAAGTTTTACTTAGTTTTCTACTATTTTGTTTTTGCATAACTTATATATATATATGTTCAAACAAGTCAATTTAATATAATATTAATAAAATATTATAATTATAATTTATATTTTAAAAGAAATTTGAAAATTTAAATTTGAATTTAGATTTGTTCTAGATTTTCTTAAATATAGGTTATGTTATTTATCAAAAATCATAAAATAATATTATTATATTTTTACAAAGGGGTTTTTGCTAAAAATAACCCAAAACTTGATTTTGAATACAAAAGTAGACCCCTGAAAAAACATTTGGCAGATAGAATCTACAGGGGTAGTGAAAAGACCATTTAATCCTGTATGAGTAAACAAAAAAACGGATGTCCTAATTACTGTTTTCTCCCTGACGAAGTCTACTAAAGAGAGAAAGAAGTCTAATAGTAGACTTCGTTTATCAAAATGAAGTCTACTAAGTAATTAAATCAGAAAATTTAATTTAAAAATTTTAAAAAAATTATTGTGGTATCAAAATTATATTCATAAATTCCGTAATTATAACTCAAATGTACATAAATTATTTTTTTATATTGATAAATGGAAATTTTTGTTTTTAAATTAAGAAGACGTTTTAAAATATAGAAGTCTACTAAACCGAATAAATAAATCTAACCGAAATTAAACTAAAATTAAACCAAAAAATAGTTATTTTAATCGAAAATTTTATCTTACTATATAAACCAGTGAATTCTGATAAAATCCTAATTTTATCCAAAAGAAACTATACGGCGCTTTCCTCTAGCTTACATCCCCTCTCTCACTATTGTTTTTGAAGCTCAGAGATCTGGTGTCCTTCTTCTCTCTCTTTCTCTCTCTTTGATAAGCATCTTCTTCCCAATAATAAGACGTCCTCGGCGATCTGGAAATTTCTCTACTTTCTTAACTCTGCTCATAAAGTTGCTATTCGGGAAATCTGAGGTATCCCCTTTCTTTCAGTCTCTCTCTCTCTCTTTCTTTCTTTCTTTCTTCTCTCTACAGATCCCTAAATCCTCTCCTTTGGACCGTTAATCACAAACCCTAGATTTAACAAGAAAAATCCTCACAGCTTCTTCATCCTCAATCTCTACTTGTCTTTCTCCTTTCAAATTCGCTTTCTACTGGAAGAAAAATTTGGGGACTTTTTCTTCTGGGTTAATCTCTGATTTTATCAGCTATGGGGAAGAATCAAGCTTACAAGGCTATGCAGAGATCTAGGGTTGGCTCCAGCTCGGCTCAGCCGGAGGAGGTTGAAGATGGAATGGTTTGTACCCTTTCATACTATTTTCTTAATTCCAGCAATTGATATTGATTACGTCTCAAGATATCTTATTTCATTTGATTAATTTTGTTTTGATCTTTTGTGTTAATGAGTGATTGAGCAGCGGGATTCGATTTTGGGAATTAAGCTTGCCCCTTACGAGTCCCATTTTTGTTTAGGAAAGAACTTGTAATCGTAGCTTTTAGGGCGTTTTTTACAGTGATAAGTCCATGTTTGAGGAAAATTAAAAGTTCAGATGTAATCTCTTGGAGTGTAGCTTCGAAGTTTGTGTCGCAATGATTCAAGAGTCTCCTACTGTTGTTGCTATCTATAAACACAAGAACCATTTAGACATGTCAAACATTAGGGTGCTTTGATATGGAGCTTTTTGTTTTTTGTTATTGTTCGGCCTGAATGATGATGATTTATTGTATCGGTTCCGGGAACATTTCGGATGAGGAGTGTCGCAGGTGGATGGTTCATTTCATACACCAGAGTGGCATGCGGCTCTGTTACATAATAAAAAAAACTACTTTGTATAGTTAATTTGTGATCTATGGTAAAATGTTGTTAACACTCTTTTAAAATTCTGATTTAAACAACAAAAAATAAAGATTTTACAGAATTCTGTTTTAACAAAAAAAATTCATCAAAAGAGTTCTATTGCTTCTTCTAAAATAAAAATTCAATAACAATTTTCTTAGAGCCAAAAGAAAATATGCTTGAATCTGGTAGTAAGTAAGTTAACACCACCAACTCAGACTTTTTATCCACCATTTCAATAAATTTCTAAAGATACAATGTGTAATGGTATCTATTGGTCATCATTTGTAATGAGCATAAGTGTATTGGTCATGTTATGTATTTTTATCACCTAAGACAACATATTATATCTAAAGCCACATAAAAGAACATTAGTAGACTACACGACGAAGTCTACTTTGATAAACTAAGTACCTAAAAAATTAAAACTTCTGATTCAACAATAAATATCCAATGAAATGAAATAAAATTCACTGGATAGTTCAATCACTTACGAAGAAGCAATTCTAAACAAAAAAATTTGAAAAATAGTTTATAAATTTGCTTAAAACGCGTTTTTAAAAAACGTCAAAAGTAGACTTCTAAAGCAGTCTTCGAATGTAGACTGGAGAAGAAGTCTACTTTGATAAGCTAAGTACCTAAAAATCGAAACTTGTGATTCAACAATAAATATCCAATGAAATGAAATAAAATTCACTGGGTAGTTCAATCACTTACTAAGAAGCAATTCTAAACAAAAAAATTTGAAAAATAGTTTATAAATTTGCTTAAAACGTGTTTTTAAAAAAACGTCAAAAGTAGACTTCTAAAGCAGACTTCGAATGTAGACTGGAGGAGAAGTCTACTTTGATAAGCTAAGTACCTAAAAAATCGAAACTTGTGATTCAACAATAAATATCCAATGAAATGAAATAAAATTCAATGGGTAGTTCAATCACTTACTAAGAAGCAGTTCTGAACCAAAAAATTTGAAAAATAGTTTATACATTTGCTTAAAACGCGTTTTAAAAAAAACATAGGAAAGTAGACTTCAATTGTAGACTGGAGGAGAAGTCTACTTTTTCATCGAGAAGTCTACTAATGAAGTCTACTTTAAAAAAGGTCATTTTTGCAATTGACCAATCTGTTGACTTTTTCTTCAGTAGACTTCAAGAGTAGACTTTAGGCAAAAAATGTTACTTTAGCAATTGAAAAATGCGTTGACTAGCATAGTAGACTTCTATTGTAGACTTCATGTAAGAGTAGACTTCTCTGGCATTATACTTTTGAAGTCTACTTTTTAAATAGAAGTCTACGGAACAAAATAGGTTATTTTTGCAATTGAATTTTTTTAGTAGACTTCACGATGAAGTCTACTCAAAAAAAGATTCCTTCCAAGTTTGACCGAACACAAAAAGTAGACTTCACAAAGAAGTCTACAAACTGTAGACTTCTTCGGGAAGTCTACTGAAGTTTTTTGGGATTTTTTAAATTTTTTAATTTTTGAAAAACAGAAGTCAAACACTAAAATGACCTATACATTTTTGGTCAAACTACAAAAGTAACTTTAAAGTAGACTTCGTATGCAGACGTAAGCAGTAGACTTCATACGGAAGTCTAAATCAAAAAGTCAAAATACGGTCAACTACAAAAATAACCTCTTTTCTTTAGTAGACTTCTTGAGCCTTCAAACGAAGTCTACTAAGTTTTTTTTTTGTTTTCAAAGGATGTCGAGTAGACTTCTCGTGAAGTTTAACGAAGTCTACTTTTAAAAAGTCAGTTGCAAAAATAACCTTATGTTGACTAGTAGACTTCACAATACTTCACGAGAAGTCTACTTTCGCGATATGAAAACTGAAATGGAGAAATTGAAGTGCGACGATTACCTTTTACAAAATTGAGCTCGGCTACAGTTCTTTTAAGCACATGGAACTCAGAATATCACCAAAAATAAGCAACCCAGATGTTAAGTAACCAGAAATCACCGAAAATGCATGACTTTTGGCATTGTAACTTAGCCCAGATATTTTGGAGAAGAAATTATGAAAGAATGAAGAAGGTTATGAGTGAATGAGCTTAAATATTTACTTATTACAGCTTTAAAATTGGTTGATAAGCATTTATTCCATTTTCATGGTTGTTCATGGTGGTTGAAGGTATTGAAGACGATGGCATTCTCGTAATTAAAAAGTCTTTAGAAGGTCCAAGAAGACTTTAGCCAATTAAAGAAAAATCGAATTATTAGATGTATAATGGCATTTTCGTTAATAGTTTAAGTGGGAAGGATAAAATTGTGAGAAAATGGCAAAAGTTGGAGAGAGAAAAAAAAGAGGTTAGTTTTGTGTTTGACTTTGAAATATGGGTTAAATCTGAAACTCTCCCTTTTACAAAAGTAATAAATTTGATATTAATTTAGATTTAATTTAAATATTCAAATTTAAGTAATATTTATATTATTGTATATTTTTATTAAATAAGTTTTAATTTTTTAATATTAAAACTTAAAAAAATACAAAATATACAAATAATATGAATGAACGGGTTATAATTATGTTTTAATAATCGCAGTTCTTTTCATATTAATATAAATGGATATGTTATAATGATGTTTTTATAATTATTGTATTTTCAGATTAATATAAACGGATATGTTAGAATAATGTTTTTCTAATCACGATCATATATATATATTAAAAAAATAAATCAATAGAAATAAACTATATATAAACAGAAAAATATGTATTATTTATTTGAAAATTATATCTAAACAAAAACAAAAACATAAATTTTATTATAAAATTTGATAAATTATATAATAGTTCCTGTGCGGATGCACATGATAATATCTAGTTAGTTATATTAAAATCAAATACAATCAAACCTCAAAATACCTAAAATTTATGATAATTTGTTTGTTTAGGGATATTTTATATTTTCATCATAAAATTACATATCTTGACATCAAATATAACAGGTTTTTACCAGAACTAATAAATATAAAATTGATTGCTATATTGACGTAAAAGTAAACTTGGTGGTTGATGTGAGTGTAAAAATGTCTTCATATTGGTTGAATGAGCATTGATAGTAACTGATCAAATTGTGATCAAATTGTGATCAAAATGCTCAAGCCTGGTGTTTTGCTAGTACGACAGTGTTTATGATTTTGATCATGTTCTTCATGCTAAAATTTTGGTGTTGAAATGTTTTATGTAGGTATAATTGTGTGGATGCTGTAGTTGCTAAAGGAGAAGAGAACAAAACTTACTTTCTATATAGATACTATATTAGGTTTCACATAATATGAAGATACAAATCCAATTGAATATTGAATATATAATATAGAGGAAGTCTTAGACTACGAAAAATGTTCTCATACAAAGATATGTAATATACATTTTGCGATACCATTTTAAAGGAGCATTGGGATTTCTACTTACCTGCTCAGACATTTAAATGTGTCGGGTTCTTAAGGCTCCCTAGTTCCCCAGATGGTCGATTGTCTGCATGCCTGATCACTCGAGCCCGACTGATGAGGCCTTCAAAGCAGCAGTTTAACTGGAGCTCCATCAAATGTCCCACTCAAGCCGTTTAGAGTCCATCAAGGTTACAAGTACTTTTTATGGAGCATACCGAACCAACCAGATCAAAGAATTTGAGAAACAAAACGACTTGTTCCGGAAACTGTTGGAGTAAGCTTGAAGAAAGCTTGAGATGAAGATTTCCTAAAGAGTTTAGGAAAAGATGATTTACTTAAGAAGTTTCTAGAAAGTGTTTAGGAGTTATCTAAAACACATAAGCTTTATCTAATTGGTTTAGGTTTTTATTAATCTCCTCTTATATATAGCAATGTCGATGTGTGGCATTAGCTGAGAGATTAAGAGAGAGTTTTAGAAGCTTTAGTTTTTGAGTCAGTTTTCTAAAGCAATAAAACAGTTTTACTTTTCTTTGATCTCAAGGAGTTAAACAAGATTTAGTATCAGAGCCAAAATACGAGAAGATGGGAGATATCGTGGCGGCAGAACCAAAAAGACCTAAGGAGAGTGTCTCTTCGACCGTGCAATGTCCGATGCTCACCGCCACCAATTACACCGTCTGGTCAATACGCATGAGAGTTGCTCTAAGAGTCCACAAAGTTTGGGACGCTATTGAACCAGGAACAGAAGACAACGACAAGAACGATCTAGCAAAAGCCCTCTTATTTCAGTCAATACCGGAAACTTTACTTCTCCAAGTCGGTAACCTCGAAACATCAAAACAAGTCTGGGATTCGATATATAAACGACATATGGGAGCAGACCGAGTCAAAGAAGCCAGGTTACAGACGCTTATGTCAGAATTCGACAGACTTAAGATGAAAGAAACCGATAAAATCGATGATTTTGTTGGGAAACTTTCAGAGTTGTCATCGAAATCTGCAGCACTAGGAGAAGTCATTGAAGAATCCAAGCTAGTCAAGAAATTCCTCAAAAGTCTTCCACGGGGAAGATATATCCATATTATTGCCGCCCTTGAACAAGTACTCGATCTTAACACTACCACATTCGAAGAAATCATTGGAAGGTTGAAAGCTTATGAAGAAAGAATAGCCGATGATGAGGAAAGTCAGCAAGATAATCAAGGCAAGCTTATGTACGCCAATGAAGAAGAGTTCCAAAACAATGGTACAGGCAGAGGCAGAGGTCGGGGTGGTCGATTTTATGGAAGAGGAAGAGGTCGTGGTCGCTATAACTATCAGCAAAACGGAGGACCCAGGCAAGAAACAGACAGATCTAAAGTAGTGTGCTATAGATGCGATAAAACAGGGCATTATGCTTCCAATTGTCCCGACAGATTACTCAAGCTACAAGAAGCACAGGAGAATGACGATAAAGATACACAAGAAGCTGAACAATTAATGATGCATGAAGTAGTACTTCTCAATGAGAGAAACATTAAGCCAGAAAAATTTGAAGCAAGTTCAGACGAGAAGAATATCTGGTACTTAGACAATGGGGCTAGCAACCACATGACAGGAGATCGAACCTACTTCAACAAACTCGATGAGTCTATCACAGGAAAAGTACGTTTTGGTGATGACTCCCGTATAGATATTAAAGGCAAAGGAACGATCCTATTTGTGACTAAAAATGGAGAAAAGAAAGTGTTAGCCGACGTCTACTTCATACCAGATCTAAGAAGCAACATTATCAGTCTGGGACAAGCAACTGAAGCAGGTTGTGACGTAAGGATGAAAGGAGATCACCTTACTCTACATGATCAAGATGGGAAGCTACTAGTAAAAGCTCATCGATCACGAAATCGCTTGTACAAAGTGCTAATGGAAGTTGAAGATACCACGTGTCTACAACTCATGGACCTGAGCGACTCTGCAAGATGGCACGCAAGACTTGGGCATATTGGAGCAAACAATATGAAAGCAATGATGAAGAAAGAACTGGTAATCGGATTACCAAACGTCACACTTGAAAAGGAAGTTTGCAGTTCGTGCTTACTTGGAAAACAAGCAAGACATACCTTCCCGAAATCATCATCATATCGAGCACAAAGAATACTTGAACTGATACACGGAGATCTCTGCGGTCCCATCTCACCTTTGACTGCAGCACAGAACAAGTATATATTTGTACTGATTGATGATCATTCAAGGTATATGTGGTCTATTCTCATGAAGGAGAAAAGCGAGGCACTCATGAAGTTTAAAAGGTTCAAAGCGTTGGTTGAACAAGAAACAGGTCTCTCAATCCAAACACTTCGAACCGACAGAGGTGGAGAATTTGTATCACAAGAGTTTCAGATGTTCTGCGACAACTCAGGCATACAACGACAACTAACCGCACCATACTCTCCCCAACAGAATGGAGTGGTGGAGAGGCGAAACAGAACATTGCTTGGAATGACCAGAAGTATCATGAAGCATATGAACATACCTAACTACCTGTGGGGAGAGGCAGTGAGACATGCAACATACCTTATAAATCGAGTTGGAACAAGAACACTAGAAGCACAAACACCCTATGAAGCTTTCAAAGGCAAGAGGCCCAATATTGAACACTTACGTATTTTCGGCTGCATCGCCTACGCAAAAACAGAGTCGCAACATTTAAAGAAGCTCGATGACAGATCTAGGATGTTGGTGCATTTAGGCACAGAACCAGGCTCCAAGGCCTATCGACTATTCGATCCAAAGAGCAGGAAAGTAGTAGTAAGCAGGGATGTTTTCTTTGAAGAAAACAAAGGTTGGAAGTGGAACAATCAAGAAAAAGAAACCGATAATATCCCAGGAATGTTCACACTCGGCATCGGAGAATTTGGAAACAAGGGAATCAGAGAAGATTCAGATATTGAAGAAATAGAGGAAAACTGTGAAAAAGAAGACGAAGAGTCTGATCTCGATTACAGAAAGGAAGTAGAAGATATTGAAACGGCTGAAGATCAAGAGGAACTCCAGCCTGAGGAGCTTCAGCCACCTCTAAGACGATCAACAAGGCAGACTAGAAAACCAAGTCATCTTGAGGACTTTGTTATGTTGGCAGAGTTAGAAGGAGAAAAGCTTCTACTCGGAATAAATGAAGAACCTTGGAATTTCGAAGAAGCGAAAGTTCTAAAGGAGTGGAGAGATGCGTGTGAAGAGGAAATTGCTTCAATAACCAAGAACAAGACTTGGAACCTCGTGGATCCACCTGCAGGAGTTAAACCAATCGGTTTAAAATGGGTGTTTAAAATCAAGAGGAACTCTGATGGGACCATTAACAAATACAAAGCAAGGTTAGTGGCAAAGGGCTATGTGCAGAAATTTGGAGTAGATTTCGATGAGGTTTTCGCTCCAGTCGCAAGAATCGAAACCATTCGACTCATTATCGCACTAGCGGCTTCAAATGGTTGGGAAGTGCATCACTTGGACGTCAAAACTGCGTTTCTCCATGGAGAACTGAAGGAGGTGGTGTACGTAACACAACCCGAAGGATTTGAGACAAAGGGAAGTGAGGCCAAAGTCTACAGGTTAAACAAAGCACTATATGGATTACGGCAAGCTCCAAGAGCATGGAATAACAAGCTAAACGCAATTCTCAAAGAACTAAAGTTCGTTAAGTGTTCTAAAGAGCCATCGCTATATCAAAAGGAAGAGGAAGGAAAATCACTTATAGTGGCTGTTTACGTGGACGATCTATTGGTTACAGGCTCAAGTATGAACCTAATTCTCGAGTTCAAAAAAAGGATGTCAGCAAAATTTGAGATGAGCGATCTCGGAAGACTGACTTACTATCTTGGCATTGAAGTTATTCAAAACGAAAGGGGTATTATGCTGAAACAGGAGAGATATGCGGCTAAGATATTGGAGGAAGCAGGGATGGATAGCTGCAATGCTGTGCATATACCGATGGATTCAGGGTTAAAATTGTCTAAAGCAGAAACAGAGAAGAGTATCAATGAAACAGAGTACAGACGAAATATTGGATGTCTTCGTTATTTACTACACACTAGACCAGACCTCTCGTTCAGCGTCGGTGTGTTGAGTAGATATATGGTAGAGCCCAAAGAGTCACACGGAGCAGCACTAAAACAAGTGTTGAGATACGTACGAGGAACTCTTTCTCTTGGAATTTCGTTTGGACGTGCTAACAAGACAGAACTGATCGGCTACAGCGATAGTAGTCATAACATAGATGTCAATGATGGGAAAAGTACGACTGGACACATCTTTTACTTGAATGATTGTCCGACCACTTGGTGCTCACAGAAGCAAGAAACTGTGGCGTTATCATCATGCGAAGCCGAATTCATGGCTGCAACGGAAGCTGCAAAACAGGCAATATGGTTGCAAGAGTTACTTGGTGAAGTTACTAATGGCACAAGCGACAAAGTTACTATAAGGATTGATAATAAGTCAGCAATAGCACTTACGAAAAATCCAGTGTTTCACGGACGCAGCAAACACATACATCGAAGATACCACTTCATTCGAGAGTGTGTTGAGAATGAACTGGTACGAGTTGAACATGTTCCAGGAACTGAACAAAAGGCTGATATTCTGACTAAGGCACTTGGAAGAATCAAATTCAAAGAGATGAGAGATCTCATTGGAGTACAAGAGGTGACAATGAAGAACTTCAAGCTTAAGGGGGACAATGTTGGAGTAAGCTTAAAGAAAGCTTGAGATGAAGATTTCCTAAAGAGTTTAGGAAAAGATGATTTACTTAAGAAGTTTCTAGAAAGTGTTTAGGAGTTATCTAAAACACTTAAGCTTTATCTAATTGGTTTAGGTTTTTATTAATCTCCTCTTATATATAGCAATGTCGATGTGTGGCATTAGCTGAGAGATTAAGAGAGAGTTTTAGAAGCTTTAGTTTTTGAGTCAGTTTTCTAAAGCAATAAAACAGTTTTACTTTTCTTTGATCTCAAGGAGTTAAACAAGAGAAACTCAACTCATCAGAGACTCACAGAGAAGTAGAATTGGTTCAATATCATCTTGCACCAAACCGGAATCCAATTTACAAACCGGGTGGTTCCTGATTGTGTTACTATTGACGCCTGTACAGACATATGTCTATTGTTTGATACATTCCGGCTCAACACACAAAGATTCAGGAAGCAAAACCACTTGGAGAACATTAGCAGCTCATTTAGATGAGCTGAATATCTCCTCGTTCAGCTCTCAAGTCGGGTGATTCTGAACTTACCCAATTTGGACATACACACACTAATTGGATATTTCCAACCAACCCAGGAAGAGATAAGCTACAAACCGACTCTTTATGGAATCCTGGTTTATATTAGACAGTGAATTGGAATCATGCCCAAACCGATTTTTATTGGGGAGTTATTCACTTTACAAGTTGGCAGTTCTGTTTCAGACCCAATTTCGCGTCTATGCCGAAGATCATGCTACACAGCCCAAATCAGTCATGTTCTCAGCCCAATACCACTTGGATAACATTGTTAGGTCTGTCTGCTATCCAACAAGCTCGAGATCCGAAGAAATGCCCATCGGATTTTAGAGTTATACCCCATTTCCCAAAGCGGATTGACTTGGTTCTGTTTAAGGCAAGTTGCAGATCTGATGGTTGCCAGACTTTGCAAACTTATCTATGGCGACCAGGAGATTATCTATTTCATCTTGAGACATTCCAGAAACCCTTCAGATGCTCCAGCACCCAGAGGATCAGGCGGATCCTCTATTGCTCACACTTGCCATATTTGGAGTTATTTGAATCAAATTCAAACAGCTCTTTCCTATTCTATCTGCACACGAATTTGAGGCATTTCCCACATTCAAGAAGGTCCCAAGACATCACCTATATCTTCCCAAGCTATCTAGATACAAGGAAATGATCACACTTACCATTTCTGGCTGAAATCCCCATCAAAGCTCCAACGGCCATAAGATCAAGGCGCCATCATCTCTTGATCATCTATCATTTATTTTCGTGTATTTGCGTCATCATCTCTTGATCATCTATCATTTATTTTCGTGTATTTTATTTCATGTATTAGTCATTTAGACCGTTAGAAAAAGTCTCTTGTCGAGCCTATATAAGCTCTTGTATTCTTCATTGTAAAACACACCTTTTATCAATCAAAATAGAACTATTCAGTTTAATCTCTCTTAAAGTTTAATTGCTCCATTCTATTTGTTTTCTATACTTAGGTGGATTCCTAGACTAGAAAGCAAGCTGGATCTCTGTCTCTTGTGTGGATTCACTGAGGCTTAGGTTCCTAGTCTTATCTCAAAGGCTTTCCGCACCTTTGAGTGGCGATCTTCATCCCATCAAGCTTATAAACTTTCGACAACCTTGTGATTAAAGCATTGGTGGATTCGTGCCTACATCACCAACTTTCTGACTGCCCGGATACATGGCTGTCTGGCTGTACAACCAAACCAAACTAATTGAAATTCAAAGAATTAATATCTTTAATTAAATATATATTATAAAAATCACATAAAAACCTTAAATGTGATAACCACTAACACTTTAAATTTCAAAGATATTTCACTAGACTATAACCTTTAAACTAGATCTCGAATACATTGTTAATTGTTATACCTTACTTATACGAAGCTCTTCAACCGCTTCCCCTTCCTCTAGTTCTAGTAGGCGCCATTATCAAAACTTGGAAATAGAAGGTAGAAAAACGAAAGCAGCCTTTTTCTCTCTCCTCCTTTTTCTCTCCCGAGCCTTTCAAATTTGAAACTTTTTTTCTTGTCGACGCCTTCAAACCTCTCTGATGTCCCTCTCCGGTGCGCGTGGTGGCACACCATCGCCGAAAAGGGACCTCCTCGCTCCCCTCTTTCGTTTGATATGTCTTTAAGCTTGGTGACCATTGGTTCGGGTGTGGCATCGTGGTGAAGCTTTTTCGGCGAGTGTCTCTTCTTCAATGGCGGCGGGACCTCAGCGGCGTCGCTGGGTCGCGGTGGAGGAAGGTGTCCTCCATGGGTCGTGCCTCTGTTCTGTCTGCCTCGACGGGTATTTGCTGCTTCTTCCTTTGCTCTCCGACCATTTTTGGACGGCTGCTCGGATTTCTTTTGAGGGCCTCGTCCGGCAGCGTGCACTTTGTCCTTCTCGGTGTTTGGGTGTTAGTCTTTTTTTTCTCTCTCCGATTATGGTCTCTCTCACGCTTCGGTCTTTCTGACACAGCGGCGAAGTAGCATTTGTAGATCTGGCCTCCTCGGCTCCGGCAATGGTGTTTAGAACCTTGAGGACGGGTTCGACCTCTGTTTTGGTGTCTAGGTCGGCTTGGGTCTGGTGGCAAGCTTCGGAGTGGTGGCTCACGTTTTTCCGGCGGGTGAAGCTCCACAGCGGTGTGTCTCAGCGGTGGCTTTAGGCATGTGGCTCGACAGTTTTTGATCGGCTTTGACGGTTTTTGCTTCGTTGTCGTCTTCGACATCGGCAAGGCATAGGATACCCAAAGGTGTGTGTTTCCAACAAATGTGTAGTAAGCCCGCGTTAGTGTCTCAGAACTCGGTTCATATTGGCTCCAGATGTGGTCCGGTGTTGATGGTGGAGCAATGCAAGACGTGACTCTTGAGGCGCCGGTTTGTTGTTGCGGCTTGCTTGTAGCTGTGGGAACTGATTCCTGCGGAGATTTGTTTTTGCAGGAAAGGCGGTTCGAGGTGACGATCCGAAGGCCTGCTCGGGCTCTCTTGTCGACGGTTGCAAACTTGCCTGTTACAAAAATCGGAAATCCCGTTAGTTCTCAGAGGAGCTGTAGGTGTCCCCTTATGAGGTTTGAGGGCTGGCTTGAGTTGATACCTGTGGCAACAATGATGAGAGTTCTAGTTCTTTAGAGCTATGGCAAAATGGAATGGTCCGAGTTTCGGCGTGTGATTGCTGCATTCTAGTTTGGTATTGTTTCGATTTTAATTTTTTAATCTCTCGAGCTGTTTTCTTAGCCTTTCGTGTTATGGTTTGCTGCTTATTTATCGTTGTTTTGTAGTTTTTGTTTAATCTATTTTCTTTGTATTCCGTGTAATTTCTATCAAAAACCAAAAATTGATAATTATTAAGGGAAAAACTCTTATCTTATGGTTTCCATAAGCAGTGTATATATACATTACATAACTAATGTATCAGAAACCCTAATAGGCCATGAGACATTAACCTGATGGTTAATGGGCCGGTTACTAAAAGTCCATTTGTTTATAACAATAATATAATTTTTATATGTTATTAGAAAAAAAAAACTTAGAAACAAGTGTATTAGTCTAAAGTTTTGTTTTCTAGTTTTTATTTAGTAACTCATTTATAATTATAATTAGTAATAAAATAATGATATAAATTTTAATTAAAATTTCAATGTTAGACATCATCTTTTTTCTTAACAGAACAGTTCCATCAAATAATTTTGATAAACCTTATTAAAAATCTAGTAAATATTTATAACGCGAGTGAAATATCTTAAAGGTTTAAAGTGTCCATCAAAATGTTTATACGAATTTTTCTATAAAATTATATTTAAATGTATCAAAATTTTATTATCTTAATTAAAATCAGTTAATTTATTTTTGATTTTCATTATAATTTTGTTGTTGTCAAAAACAGAACAAAAATATAATCTGATCTCGAATACAATTTATTTTCGGAATCCCTAAAACCCATAAAAGTCCAAACCAAATTATTAATTGATAATTGATTCCGAATATGATTTATTTTCTAAACCACGAAAAATCCAAAATTCGAACCGAATGCTAATTACTCCTTTATATAAGGACTCGTCTGCAACTTACCACTAGAGATTTCTCTAACACCTGTTTCCTTTTAATTCCTCTTCGCCGAGCTTTCTATTTCCTTTTTTTTTTGTTTTCCCCTTTAATTTCCTCGTCAATGGATCATCCTTCAATTTTCAAGCTTCTCGAAGAAGACGAGGTTAGGTTTCCTAATCTCACTCGTTTTTAAGAAATCCTGAATCTGTTCAAGCTTTTTTTATCTGATTGATGCCTTGCTCGGTCGTGATTTTGATTCCTGCAAATTTGTGTGTTTATGTAGGATGAATCGATGCATTCGGGAGCTGATGTAGACGCGTTTCAGGCCGCTCTGAATCGAGATATTGAAGGTTCGACTTCACTGCCGCTTGTGACAAATCCTGGTATGGTTCCACTCTCTCTGAGATTTTACTTGTGGAGGATGAAAGCTGGAGTTTGAATCCTAATGCATACTGAGAAGAAGTATTTGAATAGTTTATGAGAAAATTTGTGCCAAATTATTGAATTTATAAAGCGATTCAGGTGCACTACTGATCAAAAGAAAAGAGGATACTTTGTGGTTTTCTGCTTATGGGAATCATTAGCAAATTTATGTTTGTTTCGATTTTGTGGTTTTCTGCTTTTGGTCATGAAAGACTCGTTTTTTCAGGGCTTTTGTATGCTAATGACGGCATAAGTTTTGTCATTGGCAATAGCCTGTCTATTTGCTTGTTAGGTATTTAGAATTGATCAATGTGTTGGGACTTATTAGCCAGGTAAAGATAGTAGATTGATGATCCTGATACTGTTTTAGTGCTTTGTTTTTCTCTCTGGTCTTGGAAGTGATCTCTATCCTCTTTTAGTGTGTGAGATACTGAGTATGCATTTTCTGCATCATCTGGTTCATGTCTTTTTGGGATTTATCTGATTCGAGCTACATCAATCAATTGCTTGAATTAGGAAACAACCATTCTTCTCCTAGCCAGCAGTTTGCGACATGGAAGAACGGTATTGGAGATGCTAACATCAATCTCCAGACGCAGCACAGCCTTGAAAGCACCCAGATGAAGGAGCAGCAAGGATCCGCCGTAGACAATCAACACCAACAGGATTTAAAACGCACAAATGAATCTCATTTACAAAACATTCAGCCTCAAGACCTTCATCGAGCTGGTCAACTCTGGGAGAATCCTTCGCAGGTTCCGCAAACAGCTGGGTTGCAGATTTCTGAAAAGAATCCGACTGGTAACGAACAAGAAAGATCACATAATCAAGAGAGTGAATCTCAGTATGTGAAACTGCAAAAGATGAGTAGTCAACAGGCTCGTGCAGTGGAACAGCCTGTTAACCCTATGATTCGCAACCCTAAGCAAGTACCGTTTGCGGCTTTGCTTCCTACCTTAATGGCCCAACTCGATAAAGATAGAGCACTGCAGCTCCGTACCCTATATACTAGACTTAAGGTAAGCCTATCTGTGATAATTACTTAGACATTCTGTTCCATAGCTATTGCATTATCATTGCTTTCCTTCTGATACTTGTTTGCAGAAAAATGAAATCCCCAAAGAGGGGTTCACACGACATATGAAGGATATCGTAGGCGATCAGATGCTCAGGTTGGCAGTTAGTAAACTACAGCAGGTAACACCATTTTGCTTATTTTGTGTCATATAGTGAGTCAGTGACTAACACCAGGCATTCAACTTAGGGTATAACTTTGCGCATGGAATTCATGTTGTAATTGTCTGTTTGAAAACTTATGGTTGCTAAGCTTATACTCATGTTAGTATAAGTTTTGTATGGAACTCATGTTGGAAGTGTCTGTTTGAATACTTAAGGATTAAGTTCGTGTATCCATGTAGACTATTCTTTTTTTATTGGCTTGGATGCACATAGAATTGTCTGACATGGGCACTGGAGATCTTTAAGTCAACGAACTTTTGGAATATATACTTCTATCAAGATTTATCTTGTGGTTTTTTTACGCCGAATTTAGACTGAGATTCTTAACGATACTGTCTAGCTGATGCCTCTCATCTTTATTTTGTTCCATGTCACACCTTCTAATTATCTTCTTGTTTCAGATGATAGGAAATTTTTTAGTTTATAGTTTTCCAGTTACTATTTGGTTGGTATTATTTTACCTCTTTCAAGAGTTCAATGCCTCTTTTGCGAAATCCATAACTAGAAGGTCGTACTTGCATTGTCTGCATCCTTTCTCGTTTGCACTTCTTTCCTTCACCTTGCAGGGGCTTCACAAATTAGTTGGGTAACATATTGAATAAGGAAAAACCCTGCTTTTCCCCGATTATGATCACAACCAAAAAAAAGTCAAAAATTACTTTTTCAGAAAATGTTATCTTAGCAGATTATAATTCTTTTCTAAGGATATCAGACTTGTGCCTGGGTTCATTTATCATATGGTTTTACTGACTTGCGTTTGTCCCACTCTTACATCTCATTCACTCCTTTTGTGACATATTTTTATGGGACATGTTATGTTAGAAGGGTACTAAAATGATACTTCCAGAGTTTTGTAAACGTTTTCATTAAAATCTGCACAGTGGGACTGGGACTAGTTCAAGTATACCAACTGATACAAGTCATATCTCATTTCCCATTTCCAATAATAAAAATGCGTAAAACCATTGAAGCATTTGGAATTCCTGCACTTTCGCATTGAGTGGCATTGAGTGGGTCTACAGTACATGCCAAATACTACGTTAATATTAATTTGTGCTCCTTGTTTTCAGGCGAACTATAACCCGGGAAAAATCGGCATTCCAGCTCCTTCTACTGGTATATATTAATCGCTGATGCCTCTTTCTCATTTCCCGATTAGAAAAATTTTATGTGTTTCCGTAGATATGTCTTATTGTATTCATGCAGGAGCCAAAACCATTACTGACTCAATCTGTTCAATCGCAGAAATCAATAATCAAAAATCTCAGTCTGATCCTCGTGGAGTCCACCTTAACCAACTGCCTTCCTCAACAGGCAGTTCAGTTCCTGTGCAGGGACTTACCAAACATCCGCATCACCAGATGCAGCTTCCACCAAGTTCTTTTCCTATGTATACCACCTCTGGTAGTTTTCACTCATTCCCGGGTTCAAACTCCAATCCTTCTGGTTCCCCGTTGAGACCACACCTCCATGATACCCATATGAGACATGTGGCGCATAACCAGACCATGGGATCAACTGGTCTTGGAGGACAGCCCCAGTCTACCACAAACATGATGACTATGCCCAAGTTCGAGAGGCCAACTTCTGTAAATGATCCTAACAGGGTTCAAGGTGGCCCTACATCGCACTTCCAGAACAGCTCATCGTTGCCTCTAAATTCTGCACCTAGTCAAGGATCATCAGTGTCCCATGTGAAGCAGGAATCAGTTGATCAAAGTTTTGAACAGAAGAATGCAGCCTCAGGGACTTCGAAGGAGGATTTAGAGAAGGAGTCGTCTAGAATGGTTTTATCCACACCTAGCAACATGGCGCATGCAAGCTCTGTTTCTCCTTCCATGACAACTCAACTGGACGCTAGCACAGCAGTAAGAGAACTATTAATATATAAATTTCTCATTATCAAGTCAGTTTCAATTGTATTTTGTTTGCCTCTTCTCTTTGATCTCTTGAGGCAACCATGGTCTTTTACCTCAATTTTGGACTGTATTTCTCATTGACAAATTGTTTGTGTCCATCAGATGAATTCTCGTGGCCCGTTGGGTACATCTCAAGCAGGAGTTAATGCTAGGACGCAACCCAAAAAGCCTTCTGTTGGTCAGAAGAAACCCCTTGAGACATTAGGTTCTTCACCGCCACCAGCAAGGTAATTGAGCTGCTCAGGTTTACAGAGAGGGAATTATTTACAGCCTTCTTAAGTTGCTCTTTTTCGTTAGCCCTTTATAATCATAGTTGTTTTGTATGGATCAACTTGTAGCAAGAAGCAAAAAGTAGTGGGGAATTCTAATGATCAAAGTATTGAACAGCTCAATGATGTCACTGCAGTCAGTGGTGTTAATCTCAGGGTATGTTTCATGTCAGCTTCGGTTTTCAATTTATATCTGGGTGTGGAGTACAGAATAAATCAAAATCGTCATCTGCATTTTGTTTAGGAAGAGGAAGAACAATTATTCTCTGGGGCCAAAGAGGATAGCCGTGTCTCTGAAGCATCTCGGAGAGTTGTGCACGAAGAGGAAGAAAGATTAATTTTGCAGAAAAGTTCGCTGCAGAAAAAGCTTGCGGAAATCAGTTGAGATTCCTCTCACTTCTCCTTTTTATTTCTATTACCATGCTTCTTTTAAGATCTAGCTTTTACATCACTTTGAGAAGAAGCTTATATATGTTTTTCATATCTGGTAGTGGCGAAAGTCGGTTTGAAAAATATAAGCAGTGATGTCGAGCGGTGCTTGTCTTTGGTGAGATGTCAAATTTGTTGTGCATTGTTTGAATACAGTACTTGAGCTTCTTTTTTTATTTTTTTCCTTTCTAATCTCATGCATTTGGGTTCTCAGTGTGTGGAGGAAAGAATGCGAGGACTATTATCTCATATAATTCGGTTGTCAAAGCAGGTCAGTCCAACTTTCTCTTACTACATGCTTCAACTTTGTTGGGGTCTAAGCTTTTCTCAAGCTAAAATGTGCTTTTGCAGCGGGTTGATACTGAGAAATCTAGACACCGGACTTTTATCACGTCAGATATTCGGCTGCAAATCAACGAAATGAATCAGAAGGTTAAAGAGGAATGGGAGAAGAAACAAGCTGAAGCAGAAAAGCTTAAGAAACCGAGCGAGGTCTGTTCTGAGCTCATTATCTATGCTCTTAATCTTACTATAGCACACAGACATTGCAAAATTTGTTAGTTTTTTTTTGTATGTTTTCGCTGCAGAGTGAAGAAGGTGATGGTGGAGTTGATAGTGAGAAGGAGAAAGAAGATAACCGTTCAAAGGGTGTGAAGGTATTGGAGAAACCAATACTACTACATTTTGTATTAATTTTACCTTTGCAATGTTATTTGAACAAAAAGTGGTTTTGGATATGTGAAAGGGCAATAAAGAGGACGACGATAAAATGAGAACGACAGCTGCAAACGTTGCTGCTCGTGCTGCTGTGGGAGGAGACGATACGTTTTTGAAATGGCAATTAATGGCAGAAGCTCGTCAGAAATCTGTATCTGAATCTGGTAAAGACGGTAATCAAAAATCAACCTCAGGTGGAGGAAGAAACTCCAAAGACAGACAAGATGGTGGACGACGGTTTTCTGGAGCTAGTGAGTCCATTATATTTTACTGCTTGTGATGTGGCTTTTGTGGGTCTTAGATCTTGCAGCTAGCTATTGAGTTAGTTAGTTTCTCGAGGTTTTGTTCGATTTAATAATAAGCTCTGAATTCGTGTTTTTACAGGTGGTCGAAAATTAGGGAAGAACCAAGGTTCGTCGCTTCAACCAAAAGTGGTGAGGACAATCTCTGTGAAGGATGTGGTTGCTGTTTTGGAAAGAGAGCCTCAGATGTGTAAATCCACTCTAATGTATCGATTGATTCAGTAGAATGCTTGACTATCACATAATCATTATATTTTTGTAAGTTTCTGATGATAATTTTAGCGTCAAGAACAAGTGAATCATACCAGTGTATGTTTACTTGTGTTAGATTCATCGTTTTTGATCAAATTATTGACATGGCCAATTAATCCCAAACTTCAATGACAAGAGTCACAAGACAAGCCTGAAAAAGACCAACTCAGACAAAACTAGTCTTTTTAAGACTTCCAATAATCATAATTTGATGAAATGTTAATATTGGAAGTTAGAGTTAAAATGGATAATCATATCTGTAGCCAAAATGTCAAAATCGTACCGTTAGTATCAGAAAAATCGAGATTTAGCTTTGAATTGTAATAATGAGATTCGAGGCAATGTACGAGATTTGGCAGCATTACTGAGAGATTCAAGTAACAATCAAAATATCAGAGATTAAAAATTGACTAGGAATTAATCCGCACATTGTGTGTGGTAATTTTTCCAAAATTGTCTTCAAAATTTATTTTAATTTTTTGATTAATTTAAAATTAGTGATAAAAATCTATAAAAAAATATAAATAAATAAAATTGGTAGCAATTAAATAATAATACATATATAAATATCACACAACCGATATTTACTTATATATATATCATTGAATAAGATTTTGAGTTAATTTTGTTATGCAGTTTAGTTATTAGTAATTTTTAAATGTGAAAGTGGTATGATGTTAATATATATATACTTATATACATACTAACATGGATTAGAATCTAAATATATATATCTATAAAATAAGAGTTTAATTGTGAATATTTTATTAGAGATCAAACTATTATTTTAACTTAATGAATTCTATAATATGTGTTAATAATGATTATATATAAGATTGTCAAAGTGGATAAATCCGTCTATTTAATATATTTCACAATTTACTAAAATATGTTTTTGACTAACTCGTAGAAAAATACAATTTAAAACAAATCTGTAAGTTCTATATTTAACTATCTCTTAAAAAAGAATATTTAATTAAATTTTCTATATTTATAAAGCTTATCTATGTAATATATTTATAAGTAAAATTTTATTTTATGTAATATCTTATAAATAAATGTTTATTTATGTAAAATATTCTATAATAAAAGTTCATTTCTGTAATTATCTATTCAAATAATAATATAGAAATGTATCGAAGCTCAATGCACGAGATTTGGCAGCATTATTTCCAAATTTTAGTTTAGTTTAGCTTCAAACCCATTTTGGTTTGTTGTCATTCTGTTAGCACTTGGAGCTATTTTTTTTTTTTAGTAAGGGAAATGCGATCATGCGCCGAAACTCTAACTTAATCCGCGAAGAATGTAGAAAGTATTCTTATTAACAACAGAGGTGGATTTTCTGCTAAGTTAACATCAATGCTATTGTTTGCAACTAGAGCTTCTGCATTTTAAACACTACACTTTTTTTTTTAATCGTAAAGAGTCCACAGTTGTGAAACACTAGAAGTAATTGCTGGACTTCCTTCATGTTTGGTTTTTGTTTTTAGTGAAAAATGGTTGTTTTGTTTGATCCTAATGAAAAAGATATGGGAATCATTGCTTGCTCGATGGGTTTCGTATGTCAATGAAGACTACAACCCAAGAGGGTTGTTACCATACTTTTCATCGAAGTGTTTTATACAAGTTCCTTCCCACTAAAGCATTTTCAAGTGATGTTTAGGATGTTGTAGTCAATATAGAAGAGATACGTTGATTGGTATGTGCCAAACGACCAATAAATGGAACCTCCGAACTTTGCCTTTTAAATCTCGACGCTTCATTTTTGGGAGTTGAGGGTAATGATAAAGTTAAAAAGTATCAATGCCACTCCCATTAACATTGAAGACGTTAGGGTGAACATTAAAGATGCATTATGGTATCAGCAGTTTGCTAATTGTTGGTGCAAAGTAATTAATTAATTATGGTACGTAGCGTCTATTTATCCTTTTTATTTTGTGAGTTTTGAGTTTATTCAAATGTTTGATGTCTTTTAACATAATGTAGGGTGGTATGGCTCTTAGAGGATGTGTTTGTGTAAACCAATGATATCATAAATATTTCACCTCCACGCAGCGCACAGATTTAAAGTCAAAACCTAGCTTATAAGATAATATTAAGGAATAAAATGATTCTCATTAATTCCGTAAAACTGTGTTACAAGTGCTTAAATACATGATTAAGCTAAAGGAGACTTAACCAAGTAATAACCGAAACTAACCAACTAAACCAGTTATAATCAATTACTCAATTATGTATGTACAACTCTAATAGCCCCCCCTCAAGCCGTTGAATCCAAAACCGCAGGTGAATCCGGATGAAAAAGGCTTGATATCGACATCCGACGAAGTAATGAGTGAAACGGTCCAGGATGTAACGCTTTGGTTAGTATATCAGCGTGTTGATTCGCACTTGAAACATGAAACAAACGCAGAAAACCAGCTTTGACTTGATCGCGAACGGTGTGACAATCGACTTCGATGTGTTTGGTCCGTTCGTGGAATACAAGATTTGTAGCAATATGTTGTGCTGACTTGCTATCACAATATAGCTTCGCAGCAGTTGTGACATTAACTTTCAAATCCCAAAGAAACTGATTGAGCCAAAGAAGTTCACACGTAGCTAATGCCATGCTCCGATACTCTGCTTCTGTGCTGCTGCGACTAACAGTTTGTTGCTTCTTTGATTTCCAGCTAATCAAAGAGTTTCCCAAGTACACACAGAATCCACTTATAGAGCGACGAGAATCAGGATAAGTAGCCCAGTCTGCATCCGCAAAAGAATTTAAGCAGGATTCAGAGGAAGCAGGGTAAAACAGACCCTGACCTGGATTGCTCTTTAAGTACCGAAGAATCCGATAAGCTGCTTGTAGATGTGCATCGGTTGGAGATGATAAAAACTGACTCAGGTAGTTAACCGCAAAGGTAATGTCCGGTCGTGTTATAGTCAGGTATAAGAGACGACCAATCAGCTCCCTATACGGCGTTGCATTCTCTAGCTTGTTCCCAGTATCTCTGCTCAAGTGAACAGAAGGATCCATCGGAGTTGATGCCAGTTCACAAGCTAACATCCCAGTGGATGCGAGTATATCCAGGGCATACTTGCGTTGACAAACAGAAATCCCAGAAGAGTTTCAGGCAATCTCCAATCCCAAGAAAAACTTCGGTGCGCCCATATCTTTAATCTGAAAAGCTTCATGTAAGGCGTCCTTAAGAAGCTGTAACTCAGAATCATTGTTAGAGGCAATCATGATATCATCAACATACACCAATAAGGCTATAAATGATGTACCAGTTTGCTTAACAAAAAGAGTCGTATCATCAGGAGACTGGATAAATCCAGCTCGTAATACAACACTAGAAAAACATTGGTACCATTGTCTCGATGCCTGTTTAAGGCCATAGAGAGACTTACGGAGACGACATACTGGATTCGGTGGTAATGATGATGAAGCTGGAGGTGTGTAGCCCTGTGGAAGACTCATATATATCTCTTCATCTAAGTCACCATGCAAAAAAGCGTTTGTCACATCCATCTGTGTAAGCGTCCATCTGTGAGAAGCAGCCAATGCTAAAACAAGTTTCACACTTGCAAGCTTTGCAACAGGGGAAAACGTGTCTATATAATCGATCCCTTCTTGTTGCGTGTAGCCTTTAGCCACTAATCTGGCCTTATAACGACTAACAGAGCCATCAGGGTTATACTTAATAGTATAAACCCACTTGCAACCAATTACGTGCTTACCAGGTGGAAGAGTCTCAATGTCCCATGTTCCCTGAGACTCAAGAGCAGACAACTCTACATCCATAGCTTTCGGAAAATGTGGGTGAGCCATGGCTTGCTTGAATGTTTGTGGTTCTGTCTCAGTAGTGCAAGATAGGATAAAAGACTGATAGGAAGGTGATAACTTGGAATAGAAAACAACGGATTCAAGATGATAAAGGACAGAAGGTGATATAGAAGATGAAGAGGACTGAATTAGGTTACAGTGATAGTTGGACAAATAACCTGGAGCCTTGATCTGTCGTTTTGGTCGGCCAGTGTTTGATGATATTGCTCCTGTATCAGCAGTCACAGTCTCAGATATAGGTGGAGCACTAGTGTGTGATGCAGATGCAGGTAACGATGAATGAACAATATCAGATACTGTATCAGTATGAGCATATGAATGATCTATGATGATTTCAGATGATTGTTCTATCTTAACATCAAGAGCGACAGGTATTGGCATAGGCATAATAGATTTACCAAAGTAATCATGTTTATGTTCCGAGGAAGAGCCATTTTTGAATGGAAAAATTAGCTCATGAAAGATGATGTTACGAGATATAGAAACCACATTAGATTCCAAGTCTAAGACCTTATAGCCTTTATATCCCGATGGATAACCTAAGAAAACACATGGTCTGGCTCGAGGAGTGAATTTATTTCTATCCTTACTGAGAGTAGAAACAAAACACAAGCAGCCAAAAGACCTCAAAAAATTATAATCCGGTGCTTTCTTATAGAATTTCTCATACGGAGACAGTTTATTTAAGACTAAGGAAGGGGTTCTATTGATCAAGTAAACGGCAGTGATAACACAATCAGACCAATACACTAGAGGAACATTTGATTGAAAAAGTAATGCTCTAGCTACATTAAGTAAATGCTGATGTTTTCTTTCAACAACTGAGTTTTGCTGAGGCGTATATGCGCATGAGAACTGATGCAAAATACTATGTGAATGAAGTAAGCTAGTGAAAGCAAGTTCTGGTTCATTATCACTACGAATGACCTTTATAACAGATTGATATTGTGTCTTAACCAATTTAATAAAAGAGGGAAAAACAATGGAAACATCACTTTTATTTCTTAACATGTAGAGCCATGTGACCCGTGTACAATCATCTACAATCGTGAGAAAGTAACGATAGCCCTCTACAGATTCTACAGAAAATGGTCCCCAAATATCTAAATGAACAAGATCAAAAGGAGACTCAGACAAACGATTATGAGAAACAAATGGTAATTTTCGTTGTTTAGCCAGTGGACAAACTTCACAAAGGACAGAACTAGATCTATATGAAGGCAAGGAACCTGAAAGATGCTGTAACTTGAGAGGAGATGGATGACCGAGGCGTTGA